GTAGTAGTAGTAGTAGTAGTAGCACTAGTACTACTAGTAGTAGTAGTAGTAGAAGAAGAAGTAAAATTAGTAGTACTGGTAGTACTAGTAGTACTAATAGCAATAGTCGGCAATGGCTTGAGCCACGTAAACGGAACATTTCGGAGGTCCGCGCGGGGTTCTTGCGTCGGCGCTGGACCGCCTGGCGGTGCTTTCGGCGTAGCGCGGTCCAGCTCCGCTCCGAGAAATCCGCGAGGACCTCCGAGCTGTTTCGTTTGTGTTGTTCTCGGTTCTCTACGCAGGGACGGTTTTTGCTTTGGAATGGCGCTCAAGGAACTTACTGCCTGGCGCCTTCCTCCCGCGTCCTCATCCTCCTCCTCCCCCTCCTCCTCGTCCTCCTTCTTTCTTGCCCTGGACACGGCCCCCTGCATTTGAGCCCGCAATGCCTGCGCACGCCACAGCGATTATGAACACCGCAACGTTCATATGCTACACAACGCCGGTGTGCACATTCAGTGCCCGTATAAACCACTCAGCGCCGGCAACTGCAAGCGCCGCGCTCCGACCGCCGCGCCAATGCCGCTCAGCGACAGGACAACACTGCGTCCCTGAGAGCACCACGCGGCACGCCCGCAAGCGCCGTCGAGTGCCACAGCGTCCCTGCAAGCACAACAACATGCCTCTGAACACCACACTAGCCTGCGAGCGCCACAGGACGACCGCCGCGACGTGACTGCGGGAGGGGGGAGCGGGGCGGGTCACGCGCGTGATCGCCGGGGCTGTTCCGAACGGGCTCCAGCGGCCTGCTCATGCTGGCGATGAGGCGCCCCGCGGCGCCCATGTTCTCGCCAATCTGGCCGACACCAGCGCGCGAGCGCAGGATGACCTCGCGCTGCTGCCGGAGGTCGCCCATGACCTCGAGGCTGAGTTGCTCGGCCTCCGCGGCCGTGGCTCTGGCCTCCTCCAGCTGCCGGGTCTGCTGACTCAGGGTGTCGTTGACGTCCAGGAGACGCTCGCGGTCCCTGACTGCCTTCGGAGGAGAATAAGGCGAGGACCATGGCCGAGGCGGAGCGCGGAAGCGTGGGCGTCGATCTCGGTCATCGTCTATCTTTGGTCGTCGTCTCTTCGTGAGTCATCCTCGCCAGTCGGCGACGGCTGACATGGACCATGACCAGGATCGGCGTCGATAGAAAAACAATAACAAAAAACATAAACTAAATTCGAAGCTCCGCGTGGATTTACTGGATCGGCGTTAGACCCACCTCCTGGTGCGCGGAGCGCGCCACCGCCAGGGGGACACCAGCGCCAATCCGAAAATCCGCGCGGAACTCCGGGAAATCATGGTTGTGCCGCTGCTTCTTCTTCGAGTCGGCACGATCCGCCACACATCTTAGTCGTAGCCAGCCTGCTTCCTCCCTCGAGCCTTGCCCGAGATCGGGTTGTTGGCGGCCCCCAGCAGCGCCCGCCGCTCCGCCGCCTGCGTGGCAGACGCCAGCGCCTGCCGGCGCTGCGAGAGCTCGGCCCGGAACAGCTGCAGCCTGGGTTCCAGCTGCGCCCGCGCCGCGGGCGCCGTGCTCCGAGCCTCTCCGAGCAGGTTTTCTCCGGATGGAGGGCGGAGGGCGGACTCCGAAATGCCGTTTGGCCAAAACTGTCGCCACCGATCGACATCCTCCGCCAGACCGCTGCGGGCCAGTTGCGCACGTTCGAGGCGCAAGCGCCCACATCCCCCCAGCAGTGCTTGCGCTTAGGGGGTGTTGCATGGTCTTGGGCCTGGATGTCGGCCTGGCCGGCTTGTTGTCGCCGTCGCCGCCCATCGCCACCGTGCGTCGCTGCTGCTTCTGCGCTTGGGTGTCGAGCGCCGCGCTTGTTGTCGCCGTCGCCGCCGTCACTGCACCACACAGATTGCACCACACAGATTGCACTACATAGATTGCACCACATAGCTTACAACACATAGATTGCACTGCATAGCTTAGACCACCTAGATCGCGTAGCACCGATTGCACCACATATATCGCACCACCTATTGTTTACCAAATAGCTTACACCGCATAAACTGCTGAACATATATTGCACCACTTCGTATGCACTACATAGACTGTACCACGTAGCTCACACCACATTGAATGTACACTTAGTTTGCACCACACATATTGCACCACTTAAACTACCACATAGCTACATCGCGTAGCTTCCACCACACAGATTGCACCACGCAGTATGCTAGAGCACACTGTTTGGGGCCCATGCTGGCTAACATGGACTCCACCGGAAGCTCAGACTGCACCCAAAGAAAGTGCTCGGCCTCCATCTCCATCTGCTTCAGCGCCCGCTCAGCGCCGGCGACCCGCCGCTCGGCCTCGGACACGCAGCGCGTCTCCGCGCCGCTGCTGCTCGACGCCTTGGCGGCCGCCACCTGGTCGTCGAACTCCTGCCGCAGCCTCGAGAACTCGTGCGCGTACTCCTCGAACATGTCCGAGACGGTGGCCGTCACCGACGTCGCCACCAGCATGCGTCGGGAGTTGCTCAAGGTGCCTCCCTGGAAATCCTGGGGTCACCTTGGGCCAGGGGCACCTCCAGCAACACCCGAATGCGGGGGGGGGGGGGGCGCCTGGCCCCGCGCGGCGCGTCTGGCCCACGGGAGGGGGGGAGGGGCTGGACGGTCGCCGCGAGGCGGCGCGGCGCCGCAACCGCTCGTGCCCATGTCGCCCCAGAAGGGAAGATCGGGGAGGCCGAGGCGGACACGGGAGCAGAGGGGAGGGGAGGGGAGAGGAGAGGAGAGGAGGGGAGAGGAGAGGAGGGTAGAGGAAAAGGGGAAAGAGGAGAGGAGACGAGAGGAGAGGAGAGGAGAGGAGAGGAAGGGAGAGGAGGGGAGCGGAGAGGAGAGGAGAGGAGGGGAGAGAAGAGGAGAGAAGAGGAGAGAAGAGGTGAGGTGAAGAGCAGAGCAGAGCAGAGCAGAGCAGAGCAGAGCAGAGCAGAGCAGAGCTGAGAAGAGACGAGACGAGAAGAGAAGAGGAGAGAAGAGAAGAGAAGAGGAGAGGAGAGGAGAGGAGAGGAGAGGAGAGGAGAGGAGAGGAGAGGAGAGGAGAGGAGAGGAGAGGAGAGGAGAGGAGAGGAGAGGAGAGAGGAGAGAGGAGAGAGGAGAGAGGAGAGGAGAGGAGAGGAGAGGAGGGGGAGAGGAGAGGAGAGAAGAGAAGAGGAGAGGAGAGGCGAGGAGAGGAGAGGAGAGAAGAGGAGAGGAGAGGAGAGAATAGAAGGGAAGAGAAGAGAAAGGAAGGGCAGAGAAAGGAAGATAAGAGAGAGCAAAGGCAAGAGAAGAGCAGAGACGAGAAGAGAAGGGAAGAGAATATAAGGAAAAAAGCAAGAGAAGAGAAGGGAGGAGAAGAGAAGAGAAGAGAAGAGGAGGGAAGCAAAGAGAAGAGAAGAGACGGCAAGAAAAGAGAGACGAGAGAGAGAGAAGAGAGAGAAGAGAGAAGAAGAGAGAAGAGAAGAGAAGAGAGAAGAGAGAAGAGAGAAGAGAAAAGAGAGACGAGAGAAGAGAAGAGAGAAGAGAGAAGAGAAGAAGAGAGAGAAGAGAGAAGAGAGAGGAGAGGAGAGGAGAGGAGAGGAGAGAGAGAGGAGAGGAGAGGAGAGGAGAGGAGAGGAGAGGAGAGGAGAGGAGAGGAGAGGAGAGGAGAGGAAGAGGAGAGGAGAGGAGAGGAGAGGAAAGGAGAGAGGAGAGAGAGAAGAGAAGAGAGAGGAGAGAAGAGAGGAGAGAAGAGAAGAGAAGAGAGGAGAAGGGAAGAGAAGAGAAGAGAAGAGAAGAGAAGAGAAGAGAAGAGAAGAGAAGAGAAGAGAAGATAAAAGAAGAGACGAGACGAGACGAGACGAGAAGAGACGAGACGAGAAGAGAAGAGGAAGAGAAGAGAAGAGAAGAGAAGAGACGATACGAGACGAGGCAACAAGAGAAGAGAGGAGAAGGGAAGAGAAGAGAAGAGAAGAGAAGAGAAGAGAAGAGAAGAGAAGAGAAGAGAAGAGAAGAGAGGAGAGGAGAGGAGAGGAGAGGAGAGGAGAGAAGAGAAGAGAAGAGAAGAGATGAGAGAAGAGAAGAGAAGAGAAGGATGGGGGCGGGGGCGGTGTGGAGAGGAGGGAAGAGGGACGGGGACGGGAAGCGGGGAGAAGACGGAAGGGCAAGTTAGGTGCTCGCGCCATATTGGACATCAGATTCATCCCACACATCCCTTCAAAATAAGCGTTGCCGTTTCTCTGTCCGCCGACGCATGTCACAGCGGACGTGGAACTCCAAAGAGGCCCCCGAGGATGAGCAGGAGGAAAAGGCGGAAGATGTGGAAGGAGGAAGACAACGACGAACAGCAGCAGGAACTGGAGCGGAAGGAACGGGAGGAGCAGAAGGACCAGGGGAAGGCCGAATAGGGGAAATGATGGGGCGGCAAAGATGAAACTCGGACCCAGAAAAATGATCCGCGCTGGGGCGAGAGCGCCATTCTGAACAACGGAAGCAAAGCGCCGATCCAAAAATAAGGACCACGCTGCAGCGGGAGCACCACGTTGAAACACCAAAAGCAAACGGATTGAGAGAAAACGCTGTTTTAGATTAACAGATGTTTGACATTTTGCGTGCGTGTGTGATAAATCCGCCGCGCGTGAGTTTAAGAAGTCTACGCTGAAGCTCTGCTTCAGCATGAGTGTAAGCTTTAGCTTTGCTTGAGAGAAAGGGAGGGGGGGAGACGTGATTACCTGACGAATTGTGTGCTCGGCACAATCCCCCACCCTGCCACGGAGGGAGGGGGTGGGGGGGGGTAATTACCTGACGAATTATGTGCTCGGCACCTCCCCCCATTCTGCAGCTCCCAGTAGAGAGGGGGGGGGGCAGGAAGGGGCGAGAGGGGGGGGGGACAGGAGAGAGAGGGGAGCGGGGGGGGGGGACAGGAGAGAGGGGGGGGGCAGGAGAGAGGGAAGGGGGGAACAGGATAGAGGGGGGGGGCAGGAGAGAGGGGGGGGGGGGGGCAAGCTAGGTGAGCTCGCGTCATATCTGACATCCTACCCCTCCCTCCCATCCCTTACCATGGCGCAGACCCCCTCTCTACTCGCACAGTCGGATGTCAAGCAGGGCGATGATCGCGAAAGGGTACGCGATGCATTGTAGAGCACGGCGTGGCATGGCGTGGAAGAGCCCGCGAAGCGTAGTATCAGCCTAGCATTGCATTGCATGCCGTGGCATGGCACGGGAAATGACGCCAGCGCTGCAGCGGGAGCACGAATCGAAACGAGCGGAAGCGCGGAAATGAGGCCAGCGCTGCAGCGGGAGCACGATTCGGAACGAGCGGAAGCACGGAAATAAGGCCAGCGCTGCAGCGAGAGCACGATTCGGAACGAGCGGGGCCCGAAAATGAGGCCGGCGCCCCAGCGAGAGCAGCATTTGGGGAAAAATTGCAAGCGAAAGCCGAACGCCGGGGAAGGCAGAAATTCAGCGTTCTCATAAGAAAGATTTGTATTGGAATGGCCTTTTTTCGGCGGCGCCTCGGAACTCGATTTTCTGGCGCCGGCCAGAACCGGCTCCGGACCCGGCCCAGGCGCCGGCCCGGGCGCCGGCTCTTGCGTCGAGCCCGGGCGCTGGCTCGGGCGCCGGCCTGGGCGTCGGAATCGGCCCGGGAAGCCTCGGGCGCCGGAAGCAGAAATTCAGCATTTTCAACTCCGGACCCGGCCCGGGCGCCGGCCCGGGCGCCGGCTCGGGCGTGCAGCCCGGGCGCCGGCGGAAATGATGCCAGCGTGCAGCGGGAGCACGATTTGGAACGAGCGGGGCCCGAAAATGAGGCTGGCGCCTCAGCGGGAGCAGCGTTTTGGACAAAAAATGCAAGCGAAAACCCAACTCCGGGGAAACTTGTGTATAAAAAACAGTACGCGGATAGGGGGGCGAACATTCCCAAGACGTCATCAGGGGAAGAGGGAGAGTAGTATTCATACTTTGAGTAACTGTAGAGGTGGGGGACAGGAGAGGGGGGGGGGGGCAGGAGAGAGGGGTGAGGTGGCGGGAGAGGAGAGAGGGGGGGGGAGACAGGAGAGAGAGGGGGGGGAGACAGGAGAGCAGGAGAGAGAGGGGGGGAGGGGGGAAGGAGAAAGGGTGGGGGGACAGGAGAGAAGGGGGGGGCAGGAGAGGGGGGGGGGGGGCAAGCTAGGTGCGCTCGCGTCATATCTGACATCCTACCCCTCCCTCCCATCCCTTACCATGGCGGAGATTCCGTCTCTACTCGCACAGTCGAATGTCGAGCAGGGCAATGATCGCGAAAGGGTACGCGATGCATTGTAGAGCACGGCATGGCAAGGCGTAGAAGAGCACCGCAAAGCGTAGTATGTCACAGCATGGCGTGGCGTGGCGTAGTGAAGAATTGCATCACAAAGCTTTGCAACGCAAAGCAAGGCATCGCACAGCGGCCCCGAACATAACATTGTATAGCATGGCGTTGAAGATCAAAGCGTAGTGGAAGCGCGGAAATGAGGCCAGCGCTGCAGCGGGAGCACGATTCGGAACGAGCGGAAGCACGGAAATGAGGCCAGCGCTGCAGCGGGAGCACGATTCGGAACGAGCGGGGCCCGAAAATGAGGCCGGCGCCTCAGCGAGAGCAGCATTTTGAAAAAAAATGCAGGCGGAAACCCAACTCCGGGGAAACCTGTGCGTAAAAAAACAATCGCGGGGGGGGGGTCGGACACTCCCAGGCCGTCATCAGGGGAAGAGGGAGAGTAGTATTGAGTAATTGTACAGGAAGGAGAGAGGGGGGGGTGAACAGGAGAGAGGGGGGTGGACAGGAGAGAGGGAGGGAGGGAGGGGGAAAGGAGAGAGGGGGGGGGAGGGGACAGGAGAGAGGGGGAGGGGGACAGGAGAGAGGAGAGAGGGTGAGGGTGGGGGCCGGGATCATAACCATCACCATCACCATCGTCACATCACCATCATCATCATCATCATCATCATCGCCACCACCACCACCATCATCATCATCATCACCACCACCACCACCATCATCATCACCACCACCATCATCATCATCATCACCATCATCATCGTCATCAGCATCGTCATCATCATCATCATCATCAGCAGCATCAGCATCATCATCATCGTCATCATCATCAGCATCATCATCGTCATCATGTTCATGATCATCATAGCCATCAGCATCAGCATCAGCATCACCAGCATCATCAGCATCATCAGCATCATCATCAACAGCATCAGCATCGTCATCATCATCATCGGATCGGCGGCACTGGCTGGAGGCCACTACAATACGCTGAGGGCCCGAATATCTTCTGGACAGACAGGAGAGAGAGAGAGAGAGAGAGAGAAGAGGGGTCCGTTGGAGAAGAGGCAGCGAGGAAGAGAAGGAGGGGAAAATGGAGAGAAGGAGGGCGACAGGGAGACAGAGAAGGACAGCAGGGAGAGGGGGGAGCAAGGGGGGGATAGGCAGGGAGAGGGAGAGCGGGGGGCGGGGGAGGCGAAAGGGGGGGAGAGAGAAAGGGGTGGCGTGGCCAGCGCGCGGGCTGGTTTGTGACCTCCCAGGAGACCTGGACGAGGCTGTCCAGGAAAGACGTTGGAGGAGGGAGGGGAGGAGAGGGGGCCAGCCCAAGAGGGGGAGGGGGGAGGGAAGCAAGGGGGGAAGAGAGAGGGCGGGAGGAAAGGGGAAGGGGGAAGTAGAAGAA